TCAGCCATTTTTAGAGGTACTGGTCATAAAGAGAATATAATAAATCACTTTGGCCCACCCTACCCCCTGGTGTCATGATTTGAACAATTTAGAATCTACACTATACCAGGATGCTTCCATATAAGTTTCAGCATTTCTGGCCGAGTGGTTCTTGAGAAGAAGATTTTTAAAGATTTTTCTTATGTATTTCAATGTAAAACTTGGATTCCCTATTGTGGCCCCGCCCTACCCCCGGGGGTCATGATTTTAACAATTTAGAATCTACACTATCCCAGGATGCTTCCACATAAGTTTCAGCTTTTCTGGCCCAGTGGTTCTTGAGAAGATTTTTTAATGACCCCACCCTATTTTTGTCTTTTCTTGATTATCTCCCCTTGTAATGGGACTTGGCCCTATATTTTAACAATTTACACTCCCCTTCACCCAAGGATACTTTGTACCAAGTTTGGTTAAAAGTAACCCAATGGTTCTTGAGAAGAAGTTGAAAATGTGAAAAGTTTACAGACGGACGGACGACGGACAACGGGTGATCAGAAAAGCTCACTTGAGCTTTCAGCTCAGGTGAGCTAAAAAAGAACGTGGTGTGCACTCTGCAGTGTTGGACTTTGTAAGAAACGTTTTAAAACTTTTCATACCTTTACATTATGAAGAATATAATTAACTACAAAATTGTCTTCTATCTTTGCAAAACAAAATCATGAATACGTAAATTTTTCTGAGTTTTGTCGTAGGGTTAACATAACACGGTTTTAGATTAACGATTAACCTAATTTAAAAACAGCGATAACCGGTAGGCAAGAATAAGTACATGATTTGCCTACTACAGCACTTTCATTCAAACCTTTCTTATCAGAAGAAAAGTTGCAAAAGAAAAAAAAAACTTAAGTTTAGTGAACCGTGTCTATAGACAGAAAATATTGGTTATAATTCCCTTGCTGATTTTGATCAGATTTGGTTTTACTAACACAATACAATTCTATACAGTGTTAATACAGGGAAAATATTCTTATATTCTAGACAGTGTGAATACAGGAGAAATACTCTTATATTGTAGACAGTGTTAATACAGGAGAAAGGTTCTTATAAAAATACAATAAAAAAAAAAGTATCGCGCTCTTTTATCACCACAGAAACGTAATTTTCATTAGGCAAAAAAACATTTAAATACTCCGTAGAACTGTACTGTGTTTCCCTATTTTAGGGGGGGGGGTGTCAATTATTTAACAAATTATCAATAAATTGGCAAAATTAAATGAATATAGTTATTAAGGACAGACGATACGTTCTTCAAAAATATATAATTCTTCCCAAGATTTGTCATTGGAGTTTTGTTACTCTAACATGTTTCCTTAAAAATTGAGGTACATTAACAGGCATTTGTGCAAGATACCAAAGATGGTGTTTCCTATATAATACTTTTGGAAGTAACTCAAATTGCCAATATCAAAATTTTTAGCGTTTCGATGTTTTTAAGACAATAAATGTGCCGTCTTGTAAGCCGGAATTTTTTCTTCCGGTCCGCTTTGGTTTTTCTGCTTAATTGTGCATCTCGTACAAACTCGCCCTGATACAGATAAGGACAATTATCCTGTACGTATTTCAGACGTCCACCATTATGGTCATCAGAGAAACGTCGACTATTATCGTTCTCCGTTGCTTACAGATACGAACACAATCTACTGTGAATTTATCATCACAAAACTATTCAGATGCCTTAAATTTCCTTCTCAAGAAGAATTTACTGTTGGAAAGTTTTCAGCAACAACGTTTTGACGACAAAGCAGATATATATATGTAGTGTGGAAAACACAATTTAAGACTATGGTGTCAGATAAGATGTTATCACCAAGAGAAGTGGATTAATCGTGTGGTTCATTACAAGAAAGAACACTGTGTAATCTTTCCTCCTTTCAGTGAGTTTGTGGCTTTTATTGGTGAGATGAGCATCATCAGAAATGATCCTGGATTGATGTATGATACTTCTAAGGAAAACCGCCTTGAACGCAAAGGACAACATAAAGTTAAACCTACTGTGTTTACCCACAAAACGGACATTTCATCTGAAACAATGAATGCTGGACATCAGTGTTTGATTCACAAAGGATCCCGACATACTATAAACGAGTGTAAAGCTTTTAGAACCAAAAGTATTGAGGAACGCAAGCACATTCTACGTGATCATAACATTTGTTCTCGTTCTTGTGAAACGTCAGATCACTTTGCTAACCGCTGCAAAGCCAAAGGTTTGTGTGATGTGTGTAGAAGTATCTACCATTGTACAGCTCTTCACGAGGATGTTAATAACCGCCAGATGTCAAGGAATTCTTCTTCCCGGCTAAACTATGGCGAAGAGGAAAACTCACCTTCTGGAATCTTGAAGCAGTCAGTTACTTCGAAGTGTACGGACATTTGTGGTGAATTTAATGGAAAGTCATGTGCAAGAATTGTACCGGTGCGTGTATTCGCTCAAGGTCAACGTCAAGCATCAATTTGTGACTTACGCTATGTTGGACGCCCAAAGCAACAAAACTCTAGGTAAAAGTTACCTTTTTGACTCTGTGTATTAAAACTTCTCCAGTTGACATCACAATGCAATCATGTTCAGGCAAGGTTACCAGTAGTGAGCGTGTTGCTGACAACCTTATCGTCGAGCCAATCAGTGATAATCTTCAGTTGAAATTGGCACCTGCAGGGATAGACATTAACTTTCAGATCCACTTGCCCTTCGGGCAAGTGATCTTAGACTTTGACTTGTCCGAATGCTAAACTTGGTTGCCCAAAATTAGGAAAGAAATTAAGAGGAAAATTATTAATTTCTGTAGACGTTATAAGATAAAATGTGACCAAATACACAACTGTCAATTTGGCAAGTTGAGCTACCTGAAAAAAATTTCGATGTTGCATTTGTACATTAATGTATACCGCTGTACTCGTAAAATTTAACCTGTTAACACGTACTGCCATGCAGCATTAACCCTCCATTTCCTTTTAATAAAATTCATATTTTTAAAAATTATTTTCGGTAGGATCCTTTTGTGATTCGTGATTTTCAAAGATATCTGTGAAGCAACGCTTAAGGAAGATTTTGCTACGAAACATACATCTTATCTTGATCAGGATACATCGTGTTATACTGTACTTATATATTCTGTGCGTAAATAAATAATCTAATATCCTAATAAGAAGTTAATAAAATTTTGTTAAACATAGAGCATATTTATTACGAAAGAAAATAACGAACCCGATTTTTAAATGAACGGTATAATCCAGAAACGCTACCAGGGAATTTCGAATGCAAAAACATTGTCAGTCAGGTGCGTGACGGAAATCAAGTGTTCAATTTATTGTTTTATTTATTAATTAATGTAAACTAAATTAATATGTAAATTAAAATGTATGAGAACAATTCACTTGCCCGATCGGACAAGTACGTCGACAATTTCACTTGCCCGAACTGAGAATTTACTTGTCCCGGGCAATCGGACAACCGTTAATGCCGATCCCTGCACCTGTCTTGGAGTGTGACAACATGCCAAACAGTCAGGCAGAGATTCCTACACCGGATATCGCTCGTCATTATCCAAACATGCAGGATATTGCTCGAGATCTACATCCGTTAGATCCATCTATGGAAATCCTACTTCTTATAAGACGGGATCTTCCAGAAGCCCATCATTGATCAGAGATTAGGACCGTCACGATTTCCTTTTGCTCAACAGTCTCCCTTAGGATGGACAATTATTGGAGATGTTTATTTGTCTTGGAAACACATTCCACCATTACACGTCAACAGAACTTTCATCGATAAAAGTGGTCAACCTACAATGTTGGAACCTTGCAAACAAACATTAAACAAACAAAAAACTGTCATAACTACGAACAAAACAGTTATCGGAATAATAGATATCTTCAAGAAAACGCCATGATATTCAACTTGGCCTCTCGATTGAAGATCGCACTTTTCTGAATATCATGGACAACAAGTTTCATCTTGATCCCATAGAGGGAAAATGGACTGCTCCGTTGCCCTTCCGGCAAAATCGTGAACAACTTCCAGACAACTACTCAAACCTTGTTTCGCGCTAAATGTCTTGATGCCTCTTTAAGCAAAAACAACACCAAGAAAACACATTTCATTTATGCAGAAAATATTTAATTGTGATCATGCAGAATTAGGTCCATTTATATCACCTGAAAAGGGACATTGGTACCTTCCACTGTTCGGAGTCTACCATCCTCATAAACCCGACCAAATATGCGGAGTCTTTGACTCCTCAGCAGAATTCAAGGGTGTGTCTTTGAATTAACAACTGTTACAGGACTAGACTTCATAAATGATCTCCTAAGAATTCTTATTCGATTTAGGAAGTTGCAGACATTCAAAGCATGTTTCATTGGTTTCTGTTGGATGAAGGCCATCGTGACTATTTACACTTCCTCTGGCACAAAGATAATGACTGAAAAACCATTGGTTACCTACCGCATGAAAGTTCAGTTTTTGGCAATCGCTCCTCTCCTTCCGTTGCAATGTATGGGTTACGTCAGATTGGCGATCTAGCTGCGAAAACTCATGGACAGGAAGTGGAAGATTTCATTGTGAATGACTTTTACGTTGACGACGGCTTGAAATCTTGTGCAACAACTCGTGAGGCAGTCAGCCTCTTACAGAAAACTCAAGATGCTATGAGGGAGTATGGTAACATTACACTTAACAAATTCGCATCCAACGACAAAGAAGTTATGAAAGCCTTCGACTCTAATGACTTAGCCAAGAACTTTGTTGACTTGAATTTTGATAAGGATGTCTGAACTCAAAGCAGTCTTGGACTTACAGACAGATACCATTAGATTCAAAGTTTCTCGTGAAAACAAACCATCTACAAGGAGAGGAGTACTTTCTATTGTGAACCGTCTTTATGATCCTCTCGGATTAATCGCTCCAGTTGTTATTCTACGCAAGATCATTTTGCGGAAAGTAGTGTCAGACACGTCCGACTGGGATGAAGCCCTACCTCATTATCTGCTTGAAAAGGGGAGAAATGGAAAATAATTTACCTGACTTGGAAAAATTACAAATTCCTCGAGTGATTGTTCTAAATTTAATTGAAGCATATAGAAAAGAATTACTTATTTTCTGTGATGCGTCAGAACTAGCCATTAGTGCTGTTTGCTATTTGAAACCACAGTATCCCAATGGTTCTATTTCTCAAGGATTCGTTGTAGGGAAAGTAAAAGTGGCACCTGTCAATGTACATACAATCCCCATACTGGAACTGTGTGCCGCTGTACTTGCCGTGGACATAGGACAAATAGCAAAAGAACAGTTAAAGATAGAAATAAATGATGTGAAATATTTTAGCGACAGCCGAATCGTATTAGGATACAAACAAATGTAAAGAACCGATTCTTCGTGTATGCCAGTAATCGTATTGCTAACATTCTCAGTCTTAGCAGTCCGTCACAGTGGTGTTACATTCGTAGAGATCAACCCGGCAGATGTAGGCACGAGAGGAATTCTCCCGAGTGAAATGCAAAACTGTGCTTGGCTCTCAAACCAAGAAAAACAGAAATTGTACCTTCTAATCAACATTTTCCTCTTGTGACCCAGAAGACAAGGAAATCCGCTGTAACAAAATTGACATTGAGACAAAAAGTTTTCGGTCTGGACAATGAACTCCTTACGGAATTCTCGAAGTGGAACAAGCTTTTATAGCAGTGGTTGCTTAAGTTTATGGATTTATTCAGAAGTGTCGCACAGCTGAGAGTATGATGAAGAGTGATGTTTATCTTCTGTGCAAAGCTTAAACAGTTATTATCAGAGACATTCAACAGAAATTATATTCTAAGGAAATTGAAAATTTAAATGACTCTTAAACCTTTGTGAAAAAATAGTCCTATGCAACAACTAGATCCAAATACATTGACAGTGAAGGCATTTTACGTGTTGGTGGTCACTTGAAAAACCTCAGTGCAGATGTTTTATTCAAGAACCCAATGATCCTGCCTGCAAAACATCATGTTACCACTCTCATTGTCAGAAACCTTCATGCTGATGTCAGACACTAAGGACGTCATGTTGCAGAAGGTCATATTCGTTCATCTGGATTTTGGATTTTCAGAGGAAAAAGACTTGTGTCATCTATTCTTCATAAGTGGTCGCCCGCGTGGCGCAGTTGTTAGAGCGTCTGCTCTAGAGTCGCGGAGTAAGGAGTTGATCCTTACGTCGCAGGTTCGAATCCCACTGGGACGTGGAGACCGGTCCTTCGGATGAGACCGTATAAACCGAGGTCCCGTATCGCAGTAGGTGCTGGCACGAAAAAGATCCCTCACTGCTCAATGGCCGTAAGTGCCGAGTATAGGACAAAATTTGCAGCTCTCCACCGGCAAGTGGTGGCGTCTCCATACGAGAGCTGCAAATTTTGTCCTATACTCGGCACTTACGGCCATTGAGCAGTGAGGGATCTTTTTCGTGCCAGCACCTACTGCGACACGGGACCTCGGTTTATACGGTCTCATCCGAAGGACCGGTCTCCACGTCCCACAGTGGGATTCGAACCTGCGACGTAAGGATCAACTCCTTACTTCGCGACTCTAGAGCAGACGCTCTAACCACTGCGCCACGTGGGCGACCATAGAGACAAGAAAATGTATAGAAAACAAAAACGACATAACTCAATAATTTAGAATTTGTATTCACGTGGAAATGTAACTCTGAATTATGTGATTTGCTAGAAATGAACCAAACGTTCATTAAGCATGCAAGTTTAAATAAATTTGATATGACTGCATTTAGGATACCAGTTTTATGTACACCACATGGACTTTTTGTCAATAAATGTATTGAAAAAGAAACATACATGCTTGCTTTGTTCAGTGATGTACAATTATCGGTTAATTTAGACAATATAGTATCATTGCAAAACATCAGACTAGGGAAACATTAAGGATTAGGCGTTTACCCCTGATATTCCACCAAAATGAGTATTAAAATTACACCCTCGCAAAAAAAAAAGGGTAGGCAGGTCTGCTAGTGCTATTTTGCATGGTCTAGTAAATAATTGATAAATTAAATGTATGCAAGTTGTTTTTTACGCATTTATATCGGGTTTTATTTGATTTTTGTGTTAAATATTAAAGACGTCATAATGATATCCGTCTTACGGTAAAAGAAATAGAGGATATTCTATGTTTTGTAGATGAACATGGAATTTATTTCACGAGTGGGACAGGGTTTTTTGATGTTCTCACGAGTGACATAAATTCCATATTCATCTACAACACATTGAATTTTCTGTTCATTACATTTTCTTAGATTTTCCCTTTGCCTGTCTTTTCGTAACGCAGTGTCATAGGCTGTGACGTCATAGTTGAGCGGTTGAGACGTCATAGCTAAGCGAATGCGAGATTTAAAAACGTCAACATGATTTTCAACGACATATTTGGAAAACCTTAGGCAGTATATCTATTCGTCTCAGTCAGGATGGCACATTAGCTCTATCTTACAGCAGGCCGGGGATTTTTTTTAAAAACACTAGTCGTGATGGGAAGGAAATTCGTAAGTTTTGCCACACTTCTGATATTCTCGCACTGTGAGAATACTATTTTGATATCCTTTCACACTGTCAGAATATCACTTTTATTCGATGAATAAATTACAGTATTTCACTGTTGAAAATGTAATAAACATGCACATTCAGGCATTTCTTAACGTTGTTGGGCTTTGCTGAAAACTTCTGAAACTAAAAAAAGAAGCTTCTTCGAGGGCTTAGAAAATGGCACTTATTTCTGATAGTTTTTTTTCCCCAGAGGCTTTATTGGCCTTTTTGTTTTAAAGATTAAGTCATCGAGTGACATTGACGAATAGGCCTGAGACTTGTTACCGTCATCGTTGATTGATTTTGAGAGTGACTGTCCGTCAGTATCTTCTCACACTCAGTCTTATTGCTCCGGTCCAGCTACCTTATAGATATCCCGATTCGGAAAGGAATATTCTCTTTTGGTTTCTCATTCCCAAGGTGATCTTGTCCTATAGATGCGCATTTGTCCAGCCCTTGTTCCTCTTGGCTGGGATAGGCTGACAGGTTTTTGCCGCTTTTTTCCGGTAGCTCTTACATATCTTGCGTATTAAGCTTCCGAAATACGTTAGCAAGATGTCGGATGCCCCGAGGAGGACCTCCGTTTAAATTTAATTCAGTTTTTCTGATGTGCATTTCGAATAAAAACAACCCATTTTAAAAAAAACTTGATTAAACTTAAAATTACCAATAAAGTTTTCCAACGTTAGTCCTCTTTAACAAATTTTTTGATGTAAATTTTTTCTGATTTTTTCCCCAGAGGCTGTTTTGGGCCTCTTTTTAAAGTTGAATGATCATCGGGTGACATTGATAAATAGGTCTCTGAGTGGGTACTGTCATCGTTGATGGCTCATGAGAGTGACTGTCCATTAAAGTGTTATTACTCCGGTCCAGCTTCTTCACAGTATCTCGACTCTCACAAAAACAGCTGTTCTTATTCCACAACCTTTTGATGGTTTTGTTCTGCAGGTGTGCTGTTTTTCTCTCCTTGTTTCCTTGTTGCAACGCTGCCTATCTGTGAAATTGCGAAATTTACAAAGGGTTTCCTGCTCTACTATAAAACACCATAAGCATTTTCAAGATAAATAGTAACTGCTTGAAAATCATCCATCTCCATTGAGAGCAGAAATATCACAGCAGTAATGTTTCGTGAGCGATTTTCTTTCTCAACAACCACTTTGGAAATATTCATTTACAAATAGTTGGAAAGTTATCTGTGGGGGGAAATAAGATTGGTAAAGAGTTAACAAGTAGTACGATCGAAACTGTGAAGCTTTCCAGTATTTCACATATATTTTTACAGAACACGGTTCTAAGGTAATGTTAAATCACATTCACAAAACTACAAATTGACAAAAGTTTCCCACTATGTTCAAGTGCAAAACAGAAGTGTCGTCATATATTTTGTCAATCCAAGTAGTATCCCATTCATATAATCTATACATGAAACTGCAAGAAGGTCTTTTACAAATGAATTTGTGTTCAGTGCAGTTAGACAATTTTGCTTCATTTGAACATGAATACTATGTGGACCACCTTGAAAATCTGCAGGAAATAGAAAGAGCAATCACATGATCTCTTTTTCGCTAGTTTGCTATGTCACCAAAGGGAATTGTGAACTTTTAGAGGATGTTTCACATCATTATACAATTTCCAGTACTGTCTCGTCGTTTATAGAAGGATTCAATCTGCCGAATAATAAAGTAACTCAACAAATCACAATTCCCCTCAATGAATACTTCAAAACAAAAGTTGCACTAATGTTCATATTTTCAATAAAGCGGTTACATTTTGCTACAAAGGGAATTATCTTATATCCAGAAGATTCGATGGATGTTAGTTGTTTTACAGATATGTAATAGAGCAGCCTAGTAGCTACATTTGCATAGACCATTCGACAGAAGTTTTGCGACACCTGCATGAGCCATAGAAGAGATAGTGGATATTCAATGTTTTGTAGTTGGATATGGAATTTATTTCACGAGTGGGACAGGATTTTTTTTTTATTTTCACGAGTGTGAAGCACGAATGAAATTATTAAAAAAAAAAAATCTTGTCTCACGAGTAAAATAAATTCCATATTCAACTACGAGACATTAATTTTCTTTTTTTTTTTCTTTTTTTTTTTTTTTTACACTTTGTGCCGTTGTCTTTTCGTTACCCAGTGTCATAGGCCGAGAGTTCATAGTTGTGCTCTTGAGACATCATACGTAGCTAACATTGTAAACATTATTTGCAGAAACTTTGATTGTAGTCTCTGTCAGGATGGTTTACTTACTCTCTTCATCTTGTAACCAGCCAGGGAGTATTTTTAACAACTTAGTAAAGAAAATTGAGAGTTTTGCAGCACTTCTGATATTCATTTATACTGTGACAGGATTTTTTTTTTTAGACTGTGACAGAATGTCACTTTTATTCAATATATTGATTACAGTATTTCACTGTTGAAAATGTAATAAAATGCTATTGTTTTATAAGTTTTGCTAAAAAGTTGCTGTAGCAAACCAGTAGAATAGTGTCTTGGAGCAGCTCCACAAACGGCACGGGATTAAGACGGCATTTGGCTTTAGGGCGTAAAATATAGCCAAAAAATAAATTGTCGCCATAAATTATCTTGATGAAAGATCTCGATTACGATAGCTTAGAACCTACTTGTTTGTGATTATCTCAAAGGCTTTCTTGCAATCCGTGAGAAGCAGTGGGAAGGCTTACCACAGATTACTTTTGCCGATTCCGGGTAAGCCTCGGTAAGCATCCCCGTATCCGTCTAATTTGCCTTTCAAGCTTTATCTATTTTGCAGACGAACACGGAAGAATGCATT